CTTCTTGTGAAAGCCTACTGGGTCATTGCAGTGCGCCGCAGCTCCATCGCATCGCAGAAGCTCTCATGTATCGTTGTCTGGCAACTTGTAGAATTATGCTTTTTGACATATTCCAAACATTGTAAAAATAATTTCGTATGTATATAAGCTCGAATATGTATGAACTAAACCATCGAGCCATTCGCTTTTTAAGTAGGGTGTAGGCAGGTCCGTTAACCACTATCTGTCTTAAAGCCAAATCGCCAACTTGCGCTAGTTGCTGGTGATGAAGGTCATCCAGCGTCTGTCGGTCGAACGTGCGCGGCCTCAGGGAAGCTCCGATGACCTTGAAATAATCCAGCCAGTTTTCCATTATATTGGTCAGCGCTAGCGAAGACGACGACAATACGCTGTGTCAATCCTGATTTGGTTATCGACGTTTTGCCAGCTTCGCAGCATTGTTACCTCGCGGCCAACAGCAGCCTGAGCACAGCATTTCCGGCAGCGTTTGGTCGTTTGTGAAGAGACATGCGAATTCCGTGCGAAGTGCTTCTGGTTTGGTGGCTCATCCTATTCGGTGGAAGTATTTGTCAGCAGCCATACCTCACCGTCGTCGATGGCCAGCAGATACCTCTTAAATCAGTCGAGGACTCGATTCCTGTCATAGAGATTCGCGCAGAGGGCAAGCCGATGACGTCTGCACAGATTCGAGCACTGGAAGAGGCAGCTGAAGGGAAACCACTGGATGTGAAGGTGAAAAGAATAACTGCGCCTAAAAACTGCCAGAAAAAAGCGAAACGGAAAGACTTCGTTACATTTCATTACGTCGGGATGTTGGAAAACGGCAGAAGATTTGCGGACACGTGAGTAGTGACCTCTCCAAATCATAGTTTCGCTTACTGATGCTTAAATAGCATAAAAATGTTCAGTTTGTCAGCAGACACTGTTTCAACATGAAATTGGCAAGGTACAGAGGGAGATATGGAATGGAGACTGGAGAGCAGTGAGTGATAATTGCAGGAAATCGAGTGAATCCCAGATACTTCAGATTAGAAATAGCGAGGATTGACAGGCCAACATCGAAAAGAACAAAAAGCAAAAAATAACCGATCGAACGAAATCAAAACACCGCGTGTGATAAACGACTGTCTCTTAAGATCTGTGTTTGTAAACGTTTGGATGTCTTTATCTCTTACGCTAGTGCCACGTGGCGGCTTTCTTTCCATGGCATATTACGCGGAGCTGATACCTGCTTTCATGCCGTATCAGAAGTATGCTGTTTTACCGCATTCTGCAGTGATGTGGCACGCAAGGGTTTTTGAGCTTGATCGAGCAAGGGTTTCCAACTTGAGGGTCTCTAATAAAGCGTCTAATCCTGAGAGGAAGGAACGCAGATGGAGTTCGCTGCGGTACAGCAAGTCAACATATCGGGTCTCGTTCACTGAGTCCACAACAGACTCTGTAAGAAGCTAGAGTGCAGGGAATGCGTATCGTTAGTGAGGAAATTATTTTCAATGTACATAACAACAGGTCATTGATGACCAATAGAGTTATTGAATAGATCTGTCAGATGTATGTCACTCATTCTAGATGAAAGCTTCGATGACCGGCTTTGATAATATAATGCACCCAGGGGAGGACTGTATTGCTAATTTCTAAGTATTAGGTATCAATAAACTCTCTGAATCTCAGTAATCGGCATCCACCACATTAATACCAGGGGAAATCCCATCATAATACTATTATCAAATATTTTAATCCATTCTGTATGACAGTTGAAGTATCTTGGGCACATAAGTCCTATAAAATCTATTACAGAAAGGATAAATTCTTTATACTTTTCATTACGGCAACATTGAGACTTGATTGGCAATAAGGGCAGCAACTTCACTTAACTAAAGACATTGCGCTGTATTTAAAAATAAGACAAGCTCTCTGCATCAGATTCATAGCGTGGTGTATGTTCATTGCTAACTTGCTTGTGGTGTAATTTTCCCCATATTAAAATGGGGACAGGCAACAGAGTGTTTCACCAATCGTCATATTAACCTACTGTCTGCTGCCGGCAAACTGTTCTTTCTGATTATCCTGAATTGTTTGAGTAAGGCAGTTTGTAGAAGAAAACCAAAATGAAGCAAACGTCAGGATGGAGTATTCATGCCTTGATCAGATTTTCATGCTTCGTAAGATCATTTAGCAACGATGACGATTGCAGTTGCCGTGATTGGTCAGTTTCCTTGACTTCAAAGCTGTATTTGATTCAGTACATCGTCCAACGATGTGAGAAACCTTAAAATGTAATTAACTGTATAAACATATTGTTTTCATTATGGCAACCGTGAATGCCCTCAATACCAAAAGACCAATCTGAGTGGTTCCCTATTAAGTCTGGAGTTCACCAGAAAGACGCACTTCCGTTTTTACTATTCAACACTGTTCTCCACTTTCCTCTCCGAAACTCTGCGGGCTCTGGCAAAGACGAGGGTTCCATTTTACAGGGAAGGCGTTGTCAAAATATCCGACCAGATATCTTGCTGAACTTGGGTATGCAGATCATATTGCCTTGATGATTATTACAAAGGCCAGGGTCTGTCATTCGATGGTTTCAGTATGCCATACTGCTGCGAAACCCGGTTTCTTCTTTAATATCAATAAGTCAAAATGATCCAATGGCCTGAAGCAAAATTCTGAGCAGTGAAACACGATATAATTAATTAGAAAAAGAAGTCCTCCAAAATAGTTTAATGACTGAATCAAGAAACGCCCGGCTGGACTCATTTTTAATTTTAAATCAGATTATCCATTTTAGAGTTTGCCATTCTTGTAAAAGTTATCCGTTCCTTTTATCTTAGTGGCAGCTGATTCTTTTAGATCACGTAGCTTTTAATCGTTTTCCGTGTATGCAGGTACAAAACTGGTCCTTGCCGAATACAGTTTAAAGTTGGAATGACTGTTCCTGGATTAGACAAGGGAATGACAGGAATGTGCGAAAATGAGCAGAGACGGATTAAGGTGCCTTGGCGGCTACTTCAGTCCAAAAGAGGAAAAGGTTGTATTTATTTTTTATTTTCTTCGCGCTACATTCACTTTAAATTACAGTATGGCGAAAAATTCCAAAGAGTGAACACTGGCTTATTTTTGATGTTAAAATGCTGAAGGTTGAGCGATGGACTCCGGAAGCGCAGTTTCATTTTATGGATATGAATAACGATTCTCTTTTGACCCAACCAGAGGCAAGTACTTAGAGTCAATTCATTTTGTGTCTTGTATGCATTGTCCATTTTATGCAAGCGGTTAAACCGTGAGCCTCTGCTTTTTTCTGGATTGTTATTAATAGAAATTATGTATGTGAGGATACATTGGAACATTGTCCGGCGGCTACTTTGATCCGAGCACTAATCAGGCACCTCGCGGTTGCACACACCAGCATTTCAACGCCGCTATTCTGATGAAGACGGACAAGTAGAAACCGGCTGAAACGTCGAAGCTGATTTGTCTACCGCCCACGATCAGTACAGAACCCTTTGCGTCTGACACCTAATTGGTCGATGGGCGCAAGACCACGAAGAAACCTTCCGATCCCTCCATGCAAATATGCCCATTAAGGGTGAGGAACTGCATTAGAGAGATGGTTTCTCTGTATTGACTACTTTAAGAACGGGCCTACCTGGGCGAGTTTCTGATTGTTACTGAAATAAAACTTGAACTGTGGAGTCGCGGGCAGAGCTTCATGTATATATGTGCCCAATACACTGAACAACCGTAAGGACTCATGCACATCGAGCTGTAGAACGGCAGAGAAATAATCTTCTACACGTCGAGGATATGGTTTTGCTTTACTTTATTTAATAAAACGCTATACTTTACGTTGTTGTTCAAAGTTGCTGTAACAACCTGATGAGAAACATGATGAGCATATAATATTATTCACTTAATTACCACCTTATTAATTTCTAATGGTTTTAGAAACCAGTTTGCCTTTTAGTTTTTTTCAAAAAGGATCCAGTTTTAACTTTAAAAAGTCTGACACACGAGGCCTTAAACTGTAAGAAGATCGTAGCACAAAACCGTGGCACGTAAGGTTGGCTGTTATACGCAATAGCTGCGGAAACAAGCTACGTTTTGGTAACACTATTAGTTAAGTGACGTTTCTGAGTGAAAAGTCTTTGATTAGAAGCGTTCAAAGCGCAGATCTCA